GTCTGGAGATCGATAGTAATAGTGGGAGCCAGTTTGGTGTAGTGGTTAGCAAGCACGGACTCTAATCAGGGAGAGCCGGGTTTGATTCCCCACTCCTCCACATGCAGGTGCTCGTGTGACCTTGGGTCAGTCACAAGTTAGTTAATGTCAGAGCTGTTCTCTCAGGAGCAGTCCTCGAAAGAGCTCTCTCAGCCCCACCTGCCTCACAGGGTGTCTGTTGTGGGGAGGGGAAGGGACAGGAGATTGTAAGCTGTTCTGGGACTCCTTCAGGTAGTGAAGGGTAAGCTATAAATCCAGTCTCTTCTTGTTTAGGTGCCACCAGGTGGTTGGCAACCCCACCCATGGCCCCCCTTCTCCTGCTCAGAAGTGCCACACTTTGTTTGCTTGTTTATTTATTTCATTTATACTCCGCCTTTCTCCCCAATGGGGACCCAAAGCAGCTTCCTTTGTGCTCCTCGCCTCCCAGGTGGGGCCTGGAGATCTCCTGCTTTTGCAACTGATCTCCAGCTGACAGAGATTGGTTCCCCTGGAGAAAATGCTTGCCTTGGAAAGTGGACTCTATGGCATTGCACCATGCTGAGGCCCCTCCCCTCCCCAAACCCTGCCCTCTCCTGGACCTACCCCCAAAGTCTCCAGGTATTTTCCAACTCAGACCTGGCAACCCTAATCTGCCAAGATGGGGAGGACAAAATTCCGGGGCCTGATCTCCCTGGGTCGGGTCAGGTCCGGACTGATCTCCCTGGGTCGGGTCGGGTCGGGTCCGGATTGTGGGAAAGAAGCACAGAAGTAATCTTTGTCAGGGTGGGCATGGCAGTGGTGGTCAGCAACCTACTCCTGGCTGCCGTGGTTACTTGCCGCAGAGTGGGCCGCCCGTGGGGCCAAATGACGGTACTATGCAAGAGAGGCGTGATAGGTTCCCCCTGGGTATTTTCCTTGTGTTATGGAAATGCAACCGCAGAGGGAGCTGGTGTGGGGTATGGGTGTGTGCAGGTGAGAGAGAGAGATTTCTTGTGTCATTTCCAAGAACCGAAATGTTCTCCCTCCAAGCTGTGGTTTATTTAGGGTTGCCAGCTCTTGGTTAGGAAATACCTGGATATACCGGGGTTTGGCTAGGGGAGGGACCTCAGTGCGGTACAGTGCCATAGAGTCCACCTTCCAAAGAGGCCATTTTCTCCAGGTGAATTGATCTCTGTCACCTGGAGATCAATTGTAAAAATAGCGGAAGATCTCCATCCACTACCTAGGGTTGCCAAAAAAAAAACACCACGGTTTGCCAGGGGTCCCCCATTTTGGGGGGGTTCTACCCACCCCCAACACCCACACCCACCCCTCACTCTCCCTTTAAGTGTGTGGAACCCATGTTTCCTCCCAAGCCTGTGTTTCCTCCCAAGCCCGGAGTGCCAGCTTCGTGCTCTTAAAAGGGAAACGCGGCTGCTCTTAAAGGGGAAACGCCAGCTCCTGCATTTAAAAGGGAAACGCCGGCTCCTTTAAGGGCAGGGAACTGCCATTTCTGGAGATCCGACGCACAGGCGGGGGGGCGGACGTCCCCAGCATGACGTCATCATGCCGGGGATGCCCCACCCCCTCCAGGAACGCCCCCAAAGTCCCCCACTGGGGGTGGAAGATGGACTTGGCAACCCTACCACTACCTGGAAGTTGGCAACCCTGGGTTTATCCCTGCAGGTTACTTAACGTGCTTCTCAGTTGCTTGCTTTCAGCATTCTAATTGAAATTCTCTACCGGCTTTCCCAAAACTGTAACTTCTATTGTTTTCTTCATGGGTAGGGTTGCCAGCCTCCAGGTGGTGGCTGGAGATCTCCTGGGATTACAACTGATCTCCAGGCGACAGAGATCAGTTCCCTTGGAGGAAATGGCTGCTTTGGAAAGGGGACTCTGTGGCATTGCACCCCCTGAAGCCCCTCCCCTCTGCAAACCCTGACCTTTTCATGCTCCCCCCCAAAAAATCTTCCCAGCCTGGAGCTAGCAACCCTATTCAGGGAGAAAGTTGGGTGAATTTTGATCTGAAAAACAGTGAAAGATGAGAAGGTCAAACAACCCTGCTTCGCCCACCACCCCTGTTTCTATGACACTAACAGCATTTCGTTACAAACAACATTTTTGAGAAAACAATTCATGGATTTTCTGTGTAACACATTGTTTGGGCCTAATTTCTCATCTCTTCCTCAATACTAAAAAAATACCACTTGGCCCTAAATTCTCATATCTTCCCCAAGATTAAAAGAAAAGACAGCAAATATTGTGGATGTTTTCTTTTTTAAAACAAAAACGCTTCAGTCAGTATGACAGTTTCTAACCCAGT